TATAAATAACAATAAATTTTAAAGTTCTGTTTTAATTGTTTTAATATGTAAATATCAATAGATCTAACTCAGACAAGCAGAAGGTCCCCAGGGGAGAAGGGTGTGCAATAATTTTAAGAATGTAAAAGGATCCTTGAGAACCATTGGCCTTTGTGGCTTCTTATCTATAAAATGTGTTTAAAAAGGTCATAATGATTATTAGTACATAGACATGCAGTAAGAATCTAAATTAAAGAAAATTATTATGAATATGAACACAAATTCAGAAGGTAACAGCAGGGAAGTGCAATCACAAATAAGCCCATAGGGAGCTTCAATGTTATTAAGACGGTTCGGATTCTTAAATTCATGCAGTTTATTGAAGTGCATTTTATTATTATGAATTTCATAATAATTTACAGATATTCTGTCATATTTATTATGTTAAAATTTTAAAACAATGATGTAGAATTATAAATAACAGCTAACTAGAAGATGACAATGGGAAATGTCATAGGCAATTGAATTATGCTGATGCTTTATTTGACAAGAAAGTAAAGACAACTAATAATTTTGAATCTTCTTAGAAAAAAGTAAAAATGAATATGTTTGTGAGATATTGTAGAGTAAAATGAAAATCTAAGCTATAACTTCCAAATCATATGAGGGATAAGAAAAGAACAAAGAATTATTTATTAAAGACCAGAAGGCATAAAAGAGAAACTAAGAAAAATACCATAAAAATGAAACACTAAATAAATTTCAATGTACCAATAGTTATAAAATATGCAAATGATTAGCACTGTTCTATAAATGAGCATATAAATTATATTTAAATTTTATAAAATATTTTATATGTCCTATTTCTATGTAGATCCTTTCTGAGGTGTGTGTTTTTTCCCCTTAATACTGTGATTTTTAATCCACACAGTTTCCACATGCTCCTCTCAGTTCAGAAATGGAACTATTTTCATTAGACATTTCACTGAAGAATAAACAGAGGCCTTTTCACAATCCACAATCAGCATTCGAAGAGTTACTCAGGCTGTGCAAAGCAGATATTCAAAGCTTCAAGCTGAGTATTAAGCTACAATTAGTACTGAGGATTTTGTCACGGTCCATCTAGGGATAAAACAGTTTGTGGTCTGGAACTGATATCAAACTTTGCTAATCTAGTTCCCAAACCCCTGAGACCCATTTCATTCTTAGCCCCACTTTTACTTGCACAGTTTGTCAGGGTATTACAAAACCAAAAATTGGAATTATCCCCTTCCACTTCCCAGTATGACTGCAGAAGACGATAGTAGGGACAAAGACTTTGGAAGCTCAGGGGCCTAATATTGTCTGGGACCTTAAAAAGGGCAGTAGACTAGACTGGTGGACTGTGGATACATTATTTAGTTGATTAGCAAACAGTGCTTTTTCAGGGCAAGTGGTATTGACCCTCATTTTTCTCCTACTTTTTTTTGTATTCTTCCCTTACCCCCCAACTTCTGACTTGCTCAGGATCCATGAGTTCCACAATCCACATCCAAGTAGTTATCATTCTGATCCTTCCCGCTTCAACCTGCCAGTAGAATGCAATTGCTCATGTCCCAGTCTCTGAGGAACATGCTAAGATCCTAAAGCTGATAAAAAAAACTAACTGATGAAAAATAACAATAGTTTGCAAGTCAACATTATAACATTGACCACATTACTGGATGTATTAAAAAGCCAGGTGACTCAGATATCCTGCAGGAGTCTATTCATGGGCTTGTGGAAAGGAATACATACAATTATGTGTGGTAAGTGCCTGTCACAGAGCCTTCCAACTACTAAATGTACCATCAACATTGTCAGTGTCAACATGAATATTGCTCCCAAATAGAAATACTTACTTTAAACAGAGCCCTTCAATATTTCAGCTCAGATTGGCAAATGATGACAAAAACATCAGGCACTGAAACTCATTTATTTTCCTGTTAGAAAGGGAATGAGTATTCACCAAAATGCAGTAGGAATGCAGCCACTACCTACTCGACCAAGCAAACATGGTAAGAAATAGCTTTTCTTTCAAGTTCTTTCAATGTACACCAGGAGGAAGAAGAGCTGCTGTGTTGGGATACCACTTCTCTGGCTCCCAGCCCTAAACCAAAGTCAGAATGATTTCCCCCAGGATCTGTGAGAGTTAAAATGTGTTAGTCGAGGAATCTTCACAAAAGTCCTTTGGGCTAGAATTGATATAAGAGTCAGCATCTTTGCTTTTGTGTTTAGATGAAAAACAAAAACACTCTTCACCTTTAAAAAAGGTATGCATGATCTGGGGTGTAGTCTTAATTTTGTTCAAACAGCAATAGTTTCTTAAAGCAACGTCTGTCAATATCATGTCAAATATCTCCATCATCCATCATATGTTTGTCTTAAAACTACACAGGACAGTTTTATAGTTAAACTAAAATATGCATGAAAGCATTTTGAAAAGGAAAGCCACTATACAATTATAGGAATAATTATTTCCAGCACAAACACCACAGCCAGAAGCCAAATTTGCATAGCAACACATCATTACTGAGTACATGAACATTTTTAAAAATATTATAATTTGAGTTTTCATGATTATTGCACTTTCTGTGACTACCTTGTTTACTTTCTTTAATCTAAAAGGAAAAGTCTGTCAAATCTGCAAAATTATTCACTCACCTTAATGTCTCTTTTGGTATTTTTATTTCAGTGATATTTGTGATTCACATCACTGCTAAAATGCAATTAACTGGGCTGAGATAGGGATCTTTTTAACTATCCATTTGTGACATACAAATGACCACTACTGAGCCTGGGAAAGAAGGAGCAAGTCCAGGGGCGTGAGGAGAAAGCCAGTGCCAGCCAGTGTTGGAATCATGGAGAACAATCATTCTAGAGATTAACCTGATTAAATTTTGCTGGAAGAAGTTTTCCTTATATTCTCAAATTCACTTGCTTTCTCGGTTACTTACAGCTCTCTTGACTGACATTCAATGAAAAGTTTATATTCTCTAGGAATTCTGGGAAATGCAATAATGATGATCATGTGATCACTGATGATACACCTGCAACTCAGGGTGCTCCCTCATGCTACACTCAGAACTCCTAAAGAAATAGTAACACATCCCTCCCCTCAGAAGAGTATCTGAAGCTTTCATCAGTAAACCTATATCTCTCTACTTCCTTTCTATCAAGTGTCTGAGAATAGATTCATATTTAGCTAATAAAAAAAACTTGAATTTCTGTCCTATAGTACTGTAACCGTATTACGCTAAACATTGCTTGGAGAGAGAGAAAGCAATAAAGCAATACAGAAGAACAGGTGCAGAGGAAACAAACAAAATATCAGAGCTCCTTAAAGCCTCCACTTTAAGATGCTTAGGCTTCCAAGTAAAATATACAAAAAGTCATCACAAAAATGCATTGCAGGATATCACAAGAATAATTTTCTGTGTTAGGCATAAATTCATAAACATTAGCTTCATATGAGAACTTTTCACTTTAACTTAAAATGCATTAAATACAAAAATCCAAAAAATAATGTAGGAAAAAATTAATTGCTTTAGCAAAGATTTTCACCTCAGCAAAGGTTTTATTAATAGGCTACTTTAAGACATTTAACATAAACCAGTTCAATTTTAAAGTCAATGCAAATAAAGATGAAGCATCTCAGATTATAACTAAGTCACTCCATTTAGAGAATTGGATTTATAAAAATTTGATTTGCATTCAACTTTTCAGTAATGTTAACTTTGCACAAAGTTAGTCACTGCAATGAAATTGTAAAAATGGTTTCTCTGGTCCCTGAACTAGGTTTTTGTTTTTTAGTCTTTTCAGGAGTTCTAAGGACCCAGTAAACATCTGAGAAAGGCCATCATGGCTTGCCCATTAGGCCCTGATAGTGTCTGATGACATCACAATAAATTGTGATGCTCCACATGAACTCTGGCAATGGATCACAGCCTAAACTAGACATGATTTCTGTATTATCAATTTTGTTTGCTGGGAGAAATTGTGAGACTGTCTGAGGATCACATTGATACAGCCGGGGCAACTTGAAGCAGACTCATTTCTTATTCAGCCTGAGATGTTTTTGCTTGTTCTGATTCTGGAAGGTGGCAAAGGTTCTGTTTTGATTAATTTTTCATGAAACAATAAAAAAAATCCCAAACATGGTGATTTAAACAATTTCATGTTATTTGTCCAGGATTCTGGAGGTCAGAAATCCAGACAAGGCTTAGCTGGGAGGTTTTCCTGTTCTATGAGATTGGCTAGGGTAGTGGTCGGCAAACTCATTAATCAAGAGAGCCAAATATCAACAGTACAATGATTGAAATTTCTTTTCAGAGCCATATTTTTAAAACTTAAACTTCTAACGCTACTTCTTCAAAATAGACTAGTCCAGGCCCTGGTATTTTGTGGAAGAGTCACACTCAAGGGGCCAAAGAGCTGCATGTGGCTCGCGAGCCTCAGTTTACCAACCATGGGGCTATCTGATGAGGTAAGAGTCAGATAGTGGTTGGTGCTGGCACATGCACACTGGTTTTGCCTACGTTTCTGGTACCTTGATAGGGACAGCCATGAAACTGGATGTTGCTTTGTACACTTGGCTCTGTCCAGTGGTTAGCTTGGTCTTTTTAAATGGCAGCTCAACACTAAGAGCAGGTATTTCAGGTGGCAAAGGAAGAACCTGCTTCACTCTTAAGGCTCAACCTTAGAAGTTATACTATACTCTCCTGCTTAAGATAAATCACAGAACCAGCCCAGATTCAGGAGGCTGGGAGAAGTAGCCTCTGATGGGGGAGTGAGTGGTAAGGATACAGCAAAATCCCATGTGAGATGGGCCATGTTGTGGTGGCTAGCACAACTTACCACAGGATCCCCAAGAATGCTTAGAAAAATCATGTGCATCACTTCTTTCTCACAATCCTCCATATGAACCTTGGAAAGGAGCCATCCTTGGCACTATGTGTCCGAGGAGGAAAAGACAAAAGCTAATGGATAAAATTGGCACTCACCTGGCGGAATTGTTCGAGGTCAATTTTGTTGCCCACCAGCACCAGGGGGATTTCATAGGTGTGACGGACCTGAAAGATGAGCTCTTTAAACTTGGCAGCCTCCTGGAATGACTGGCGGTCGGTGACGGAATAGCAGAGGATGAAGCCCTCCCCACCTCGCATGTACTGCTCCCGCATGGCTGTGAACTCTGCCTGCAAGCAAAGAGCAAGATCGGGATGCAGTTTAAGACAGACAGTGAAGCCAACACACACCACTAATAAAATAACAGGTCAAATGCAGACAAATTATGAAACTAAGTGTTTAGGTAGACATTTTCTAAAAGTGTTTTTGTGGGTTTTGCAGATAGAGTAGCACTATGAGGTCTAAATGTACCATATAAAAACAATGTTTTAAATTGTTCAGAGCATTGATCTTTAATCATAGGAGATTTAGGAGATCTTGGGGGAGATATATTCAATAGCAAACTTACTGATACAATGTTGGGGATTTTACATATAAAAATTACATACTTTTAATAGTGTTATATTTAATTACTTAATTTTAGGAAAAGGGATCTAAATTTGTATACCCCAAACATTAAAACATAGAAGAATTAAAATTTTCCTCAAAAATATGAAAACAAATTAGAGTGTAACACTGATTACTCATGTGATCAAAGAAACTTATTAGACAATCACAGACCCATTTATATATTTGGGTATTCTTTTTTATTTTATGTTAACCTTTACTGTTGAGAGTATTACATAGGTCTTCCTTCTCTCCCTTTCCCCCCATTAACCTCTTCCAACCCTTATTTGGGTATTGTTAGATTTCTCTTTGAGGGGCACACACAGAGGGATCATGATGCTAAGTCATGAGTTTATTTTTATATTCTGTCCATTGCTCCTTGCTCTTCTCTCTCTGCAGGGGCCTTCCACAATATATCAACATCTCATCCTGTGGACATTGCTGTCTTAGTTTTTCATGTTGCATCCCCCTGAATTACTGAAAAGTAGTTCTGTAACTGAAAAGTCAATATTAGGTCTGATTTGTGATCTAAAATGTTTCTCTCAGTCTGAAATATCAGTTTTCACTCACTATTATTCTGGATTTATTCTTCAAGTCCCAAGAGCTAATTAAGTTCGTGCAATGGGAAATAGAGAAGTTAGACTCTGGCTTTGGTGAAGAAGCCACCCTAAACAATCAAAGATCACCATAAGAACATATTGTGAATTGGACAATTTGTGAGATAAATAATCAAAGAAAGGAAGATTCACATGAACTTGAGCTGTATTTGAACCATGAGGCAAAGATGTAAGTTCTTCACCTGGGAAAGGGCTTACAAGAACTACTAAAATATTCTGCTCAGAGTAACTGTTTAAGCAAATGTTCATTTGGTTTAATGTGGCTTGTCTTTTGAATGAGAACATTTATGTAGACCCAGAAATTTTGGAAAATTAGAGAAAGCAATAAAGTTAATAAGGTCCTGAGTTAGTTCATGAAGCTCTTTAAATTGTTTTCAGTAAAAATGGAACGGGTGCAAATAACTTCCCTGGGTCCCTCCAAGTATTGCAAAGTTGTAAGAACTTGAGCCAGGAGAGCAAAGGAGACTTGTTCACGGATGGACAGCCAGCTAACAAAAAGTTGTTTTTGAATAATTCATGTTCTCTGACTCTCACTGTATCACTTAGTATTACATTTTAGTTGAGCTTAATCCTAAATTTTGCCATGTGAGTCAAATGCACAAACACAGGAAACACAAATCTACTTAGTCTTGATTTTCTTTATCTCCAGAAGAATATCTGAGGCCTCTTGTTGTTCTAACATTCTCTAATTTTGAAAACCCTATTTCTCTGTCAAAATCTGATATCTGATATGGATCAACTAGAGAATTGTGGACTGGAATTAATGATGTTTCCCAAATGTATAATTAGTTTTAAAATAGAAATGATATAATCATCATCAAAATATATGTAATATTTGAGAAGATATAAATGGATTTGTTACATCAGTTTTATATTATTAAAACCATAAGAAAAGTGCTAACTAAAATAAAGTGGAGAAGATATATTTTACAACTTTCAGTTCATTATATTTGCCAATTATTTTAAGCACTAAAATTATTTTCAAGTAGCTATTGAGTATTTAAAAATAACAAAAGCACATTGCAAAATATTTAAGTGGTACAAAGTATATATAAAATTAATTTTCCTTCTACCTCAAACTTTCAGTTTTCCTTCCCAAATGTGTGACAGTTAATAGTTTCTTTATCCTTGCAGAAATATATATGTGTACACAAGCATAGACATACACATTTACATTTATACACCTTTTAATGCTCAAATAGTAACATATATAATTTTTACTTTTAACTTTAATTAAAATTTAATAACCCTAATGTACCCTGCAGACTATGCCATGTGAGCACACATAAATATTATTATTTTCATGAATGCATAATTTATTTTATGAATGTACCATAATTTCTTTAACTAGTTACCTCTGAGGAGGCATTTAGATGTTCTCCATTTATTTCTCTTACATGCAGTGTTACAATGTCTATTCTTAAATACCCTTGCTGCACAGATTTATGTAATTATGGGAGGTAGTACTGCTAGATCAAAGAGAACATACATTTTTACTTTTGGGAAATAGTGCTGAATCTCACCATCAGATACATTATTCCCATAACTCTCTCCCAACATTACATAAAGTGCCCATTTACACTCATTCTCACAGATGTCACATCACATATTTTTGTATCTTTTTATATATTTTAAAGTTAAAAAAATATATATAGTATCTTGTTTCCTTCATTTGTACTTGTGAGCCATAGTAAGTATCTCATGTTTATTATCCATTTACAAAGTCTCTTCTAGATATGTATTTTATTTTGTTGTAAGAAATGGAATAGCTTTATAATCTTTGAATGTTTAAAAATTTGGACTGGAGTAGGTTTTTCTCTATGTCAGTCATAAGGAAACAACAATACATTTGACATCTTCAACAATAACTATGCCACAGGGAAAAGGTAAATACATTTGAAATATTCCAACAACCTATGAGGGAAACAGGCAAAGCACATGAAGGTAAAATTTACAGGGAACAGTACTGGATAAATGAATGAGTACATATCTAATCATGTTGGTTAACTAGACTCAAAACCACCTAAGTGTTCTCCTATAAATACTAGTAGATGTCCTTGGCCTTGAATCTGAGCTGGGTTGGAGTTTCCAGATGTGGGACTATCGCATTAACATTTCAAAGGGCTCTTTATTTGATTTTGCTTTGCACTCGAATGTAGGGTTCATAACTCGGTGTTTATGTTCAGAAATGGTCTTTCTGATCTGTGAGCACAAAACCTGGGAGGCACCGAACACAAACTCACTTAGTGTCTGTCCTCTACCAATCACCTAACCCCTCAGCACCCCAATTTCCTCTTTTGTCCGAAGGGAATAGAACACACACTTAACCCGTCTTACAGGGCTGCTGAGAGGATCAAAAGAGAACAGATTTGAAAATGCTGTGATGAATTTTTAAAATACTCTGCAAATTAATCCTATTATTATCTCTGGTACAAATCCTGCAGAATAGTACCTTTCACTGGGAGAACAGGCGTGAAATCCTCCTAGAGCTGCATTAGATATAAATGTGGAAGTAGTTCTCAAATACATGTAATCAGAAATGACTGACCTTTTTCTGCTCAAATAGGAGACTCTGTCTACCAATAAAACAGATATAATTGAATTATCTAAATGAATGGAAGGGTCGCCTCTTCTTAGCTGACCTTGTCTCTATCAACTCTTTTTATAGCATAGCATACATGTATTACTTAAAGATGCATGGGAGGCTGGGGGGTGAGGGTGGGGGGAAGAGAATTGAGCAGAAACTCTGCAGCTATGTATCAACTTAATAATATATGACACTAAAACCATTTTATAAAAAATTATGATGTTCAACATGTTGCTTCCATTTTTGTTCACCCATGAATTAAAGATCCCTGTACTTTCTGTTCTGTGTATCCTGAATGTTAATATCTTTTTCATTTGCTTCCTGCTATAAAGGACACTTGTTGGTTAATTATTCAGGAACGTTACGAGATATCATTTGCTGTCCATAAATAGCAGAATATCTATATTGTGTAAAATGCTACAAAGAGAAACATTTATAATATTTTCTAAGCTATTTTGAGTACAAACTGCAGCTTGATTACTTCCTTATTATTGCTTCCTTGTATTAAATAGTGTAAGAATTCTCTTAATTCTCATCATTGGCATGGATCAGGAGATCACAATTCTATTCCAGGTCAGGTCATATGCCCAGGTTGCAAGCTAAATCCCCAGTGTGGAGCATGCAGGAGAAGCCAATGGATGATTCCCTCTCATCATTGATGTTTTTATATCTCTCTCCCCCTCCCTTCTTCTCTGAAATCAATAAACATGTATTTTTAAAAAATGAAACAAAGAAACAATGTTTATTAATCTCGTATCTCAGGGTTTTTTTTATTATCAGAATAAGTTTTTTTATTAGTTTTTCAGAAACTTAGAGAATGAGCCAGCTCACCATTGCATTTAATTAGTGCTACTCTAACATATAAATGACTCACTGTTTTCAAAATGCTCTAGCATTAGACCCTCCTTTCAACTGCTTTATCACACATACAGACACATACCATTGTCTATACAAATTACCATATATTCAAGATAACACATCTCCACATCAAATTTATTGTCCTAGTAAAAAATAGTAAATAAAAAAAAGTTAGTCATGCTCCTGATACTATGACAAGGGGTAAGCTATATTAAGGGGGAAAAAAAGAAAAAAGAAAAAAAAGTATGACCCTGTTTTGGTTGGAGAAACTCACCTGGACCAGGATAGGATAAAGGAAGAGCGATTGAGGGCTAAATGAAACGTGAGGTTCAGAAAAGGGCAGGAGCAGTTTATAGAAGGAAGACAAAGAAGGCTTGGAGTAGAAGATGAGATGTGATGTGTTTTTATTAAATTTATTATTTATAAAGAGCTCCTCAATTTTAATGCAACCCTACTTCCAAAGATTAGGTATTGCTACCATTAAATAGCCTTTTGGAATTCCAATTCATTTTTTGTAGGGCAATTAAACTTCTGCAATCTGCCTATCAGTCATAGTTCCATTTTGGGGGTCTGTCAGAGGAGCAATGTGGTTGTTATTGCTTTCATTTGCAAGTTTTTAAAG